CTTCACAAGTTCTTCCTCATAAACTTTAAGCAAAGCATATCAGTCAAATCTCCGAGGTGGAAAAGTTTAAAGCTTGACAGGCCGAGTCACAGCTACTAACCTACGACTTAAAAAATAAATAAATAAATAAATAAATAAATAAATAAATAAATAAATAAATAAATCCATGAAAACACACAAACGTTGGCAAACTACAAGATGTACACAGTTGCATGTAGTACATCAGTTTCATGGCTATGTTTTAGTTAAAGTAAGTGGAGCTCTAGCTGGTGAAGGTTATAATGGTTTTACTTTGCCTTACGTTGACTTTCTTTGTAAACAAGAGATGGTCTGCGTGCTAGCGATGGCTCTGTGTTGTGCCTCGGTGGTGGGGGAGGGGGCACCTGTTGAGGTGGTTAAAGGGGTTACTGGAGGTTGATTTTTTTTGTCACTTTTAGTCAGAAGTAGAGAAAGAGAGAGAGAGAGAGAGAGATACCTGCAAAAGTAAAAAAAAATATTAACTCTTTTTTTAGAGGTATGGTTAAACTTTAGATGACTCGCCATTAAGAAAGTTGAGGAAACCTATGGTTGTCTTTTTAGTAGTTTGGTCTGTATCTGTCAAGTAGGCTGTCATTAAAATATGCAACAGAGCTTGTTCTTTGGAGAAACAGTCAATTAGCCATAAGGAGACGGGAGCCAGTTTTAAATTTGACAGTATTTTAAGTGTCCATTCATGAGAAGATAACTTTAGAAAAAAGGGGGGGAAAAAATATAATTGCTTTTAAACGTTTTACTTTGCACCTGTAAAAATCACAGACAATACCAAACACATTACAATGGGAGTGATTTTCTCATTACTCATGTTATCATTAATGGATAAGAAAAGTCGATGTGCACCAGACATGTGGTTGTTCGCCACTCAGATCTCAAAATACAAACAGACAAAGAAAAAAAAGAATACATGTGGGTACATGTACATGGGCGCACGTGCAGGCGCTGTAATAAGTGGGGGTTTCAAAATGCACTTATTCACACTAACACACACACACACACACACACACACACACACACACACACACACACACACCCACACACACACTTATCTCCATAATTACTGTATAGTCAGTATGTCCGTGTTTGGGGGTGACTCTCAAAGTGAGATGTTGACAACAGCAGAGCTGAGCTCAAGCTGGGACCCGTCAAAGGCCTGACACCGATAGCATTATCCATGTAATTATTAACACTTAAGTGGACTGCCTACTTATTTTTAACATAATGGATTTGAAAGCAGAAGCCAGATCCACGTTGCCCTCTCATTTCACAACTTCAGACCTTCTCGTGTCAATACCGGAAAGAAAATATGTTGTGCAGTTTCTCTTGAATGGCTTAAATGTGAATATTTTTCAGCTGAACTGATTTATTTTCCATCTGAGCATAAACTCGCCGTGAGGTATTAGCACACTGTAAGGCAGGTGATGAAAACCTTTAAATATAGATTGCCTTGCACAAAATGTAACATTTCCTATTTTTCTGCTCAAACCTCAATGTATTTTTGGGAGATTTTATATTGCATGGTTTTCGCTTGAGCTATCCCCAAAAGCCACCTGTGTTATTTAATCCCAGAATAAATGTAGCTGTTCTGTGAAAGCCTCAGTTTTGTTTAGTTTTTTTTCCCCCTTTCAAGATAACATTAGCAAACAAGCAGTATTATAAAGACCACAGAACAAAGCCTACAGGTCAGGGGTAAGGGTTAGGAAAAGAAAAAAAGAAGAAAAACCAGCATTAAGTTATAAAAATATTCCCCAAACTTTAAAACGGTTCACAGAGAACCTTTCATCCAGCCATCGAAGAACGGAAAGAGCTTAAAAAAACGGCTCTTTCTGTTTTTGGCCAACACATGGCCATCCACTTAAACTGCCAGGCGAGATGGGAAGCAATCAGAGAAGCAGCCAAGAGGCTTATGGTACCTCTGCTGGACATGCAGGGATCCACAGCTCAGGAAAGACAATTTCTTGACAGGGTAACTGTTAGTTGTGCTCTCAACAAATTTGGCCTTTACGGAAGAGTGACAAGATGATAGCAATTTTTGGAAGAAAGCTATAAAAAGTCTCATTTGCAGTCAACATTTTGAAGAGGGGTGCACTTTTCCCTTGACTTCTCAATTCAAGGGAAATTGAGAAGTCAACTGTTCTAATCACTGTTGGTCTGATTGGAAAACTCCAACAAAATACACTGAAGTTTGAGGTTTTCTTGCTGGTTGTTTTTGCTCTTTTTCTAAATATGTATTTTTTCAATTCTTCTATAAAATATTTACTTGCCAGAACTCACTTGTGAGTCGGCATACTCTTCTGAAGATTTGTGTTCAGGTCGCTGAAAAAATGAGTGAATAAAGGAGCTAAATTCCCTTGATTGGAAAGGAGAATCATATTTGCATGCAAGTGTGTCTGTTTGCACAGCATGTGTGTGTGTCACGACGTAACATGGGAAATATGGGAGATGTCAGACCGGCCTCTGTGCCCTTCCTGCTGGTGTGAATTCGATGTGAACCAGCACGCCGCTGATGACGGGGGGAAGCTGCGCCGTAAGCGGGGCCCACTAACTCATCACAGCTCCTCCGTGCTACGGCTCGGCAGAAAAGTGAAGTGGTGGCGTGTGTTTAAAACTTAATGAAAGTGGCCCTCCGAAGGTCAGCGCGGAGCAAGCCGGGGCCATTTCGTCTGCTGCTAATTGAGTATTAATGATTCAAAGATGCTCCTGTGTCTCGAGCGTAAAAGGTGAACTTACGCCACAGCACAATCGGAGACACTTGAAAGGACAGTAAATTACAGAACAAAGAAAAAGACACACACACACACACACACACACCCACACACACACACACACACACAAACAAACAAAAAAAACAGTTTAACATAAAATGTGACAAAGAAGTTGCAGTGACAAGAAGATGTAAGTCACTTTTGCGCAATTTGTTACAGTGCGCTGGTTTGGTACGAGTGACAAATTATTTTGTAGCTTTTGAATTGCAAAATTTGAATTTCATTAACCAGCTGTGATTGATTATCCCACCGATGACTGCTCCTGCGATCGTGTCTTTTGATAGCAATTTAATAAGGCACCAGTCATAAGTGAGAATGAATGGAGCTTAAGCCAATTATATCAGGTGTAAAATTAATGTACAGTATGAAAGATGGAGCAGAATGTGCCTCCGAAGAAACATTTGCAGGTGGTTATTGGTCAATTCTTCATGGTTAGTAACATTAAAAGCAAGAGTTAATGAATCGAATGGTATCAAAAAACTAGGCACTGCTTGTGTTACTTTGCCTGCTCCTATATAGGATTTTTAAACCAACAGAGTGGATACAGATGTTTTCATAAGTACCTCATGTTTGTAAATTACTAGACCAGTTTGGAATATGTATGAATATAGCAAGAGCTGTAGAGTCACAACCATGCAAATATGCAACACACTGTGCTCACTCATGCATGAAAGTACATTTGTGATCATTATTTGCTCTTTATTGTGAAGCCCACACGTGAAAGAAGGGGAATTTGTGGCTTTTTAACAGACATGGGTCGGTTGCAGTTAGCACGGCATGTCAAGGTTTTGAAAACTTTACTGGTTTAAAACCGTTTGTCATACTGTTTTCATGGACACTGTTGGTCAGATGCCTGAAAGAAGACGAAAACCTTCGTTTGCTTAGAAGGAAAACCAGCTTTATAGTCTGGAAATGTTTCCGAAGGGCAAAACGGTCGAAGTCTGGAAACGCAGACGCAACGAGCAGCATATCTTATCTTAGCCGTACGTTTTCAACAAAAGCTTTTTGGTATCTTAAATGTTTCTACTCTAACACACTGTTAGCATCAGCCAAAAAGCAACCTCAGAAAATAAGAATGCCGTCTTCAAATAATGATTTCATTCATTAAGGAGAAAGAGCTATCCAAACTATCCTGGCCTTATGTGAAATAACTAGTTATGTAACTAGTTATGTCTAATAACTAGTTGGGCTACCCCTGGCAACAACAACAGTCATCAAATGACTGGAATAACAGGTAGACTTTTACATTGCTTTTGAAGATTTTCGGCCCAAACTTCTTTGCAAAATTGTTTTTAAAAAAGGAATATTGGAGAGTATTCATGCATGAGTGAACTGTTTAAGCTGAAGGCAGAACATTTCACATGATATTAAGCAGGATTATTTTACCAGGCCACTCCATAGTCTCCATTTTGCTTTAAGAGGCGGTATTGCAGATGTGTTTATGGTTTGGTACGCAATCCTGTTACATTTGAGATTAAGCTCACAAACTGACAGCTTGATATTCTTTTTCAGGAGAATAAGTTGTCCAGGTCCAGAAACACCAAACCAGTTTGGGACCATCACACCATGTTTGACTGGTAGTCTGAAGTTTTTGTTCTAAATGCTGGGTTTGTTTTGCGCCTGGTCTAGCTGTATGTATGCCTTCCAAAAATTTCCACTTTTTTTTTTTTCCATCCGTTTCCTCAAATATTTATGTCGTCATGTTTTTTTTTGGCACATGTGTGACAGGCCTTTGTGTCAACAATGATTTTACAGTTGAAACCAGATATTTACGTGCAAAATATTTTTTTTTCTCTCATTGTATGACATTAAATCAGACCAAATGTCTCTTGTTTTAGGTTAGATGGAATTACTAAAATGAATAAACTGAACTTTTTCTAAAGAAAAAAGATATCATCAAAAGGCTGACTTTTTTATTTTACATAATTAGATGTAATCATAATTAAAAAAAAAAAAATCTCACTTTTGCTCAGCTTATACTTGTCTAACATTAAATGTATTTCATGATCTCAGATAGTAAAACAAGGCTGCCCATGAAAACCTGCTAACATTATTGCTGTCAAATACATTTGTACTTATTTGCTTTTACTCATGGTGATCATGCTGAGAATCTCATACCGACCCATGCCTAGTTGCGATGACGTGTAACTGGCAGTGAGGGTGCATTTAGGTTTCCATCTGGCTTCTGGACAATAGTCTTACCTTGAATGTGGACATGGCTGGGTCCCTGTTATACCTGTCTATGGTGTGGAACTTGGACGAGTGGTTGAGCTCATGGTACAGCTCAGAATGTCTTTTGCGAGTGTGCATCACTTTCTGGAAGGGAAGAAAGGAAGGGACAGCAAAAATGAAGCAAATAGGAACAAATAAAAGAAAGGATGAAAACGAAAAAGAATGGAGGTTGCATGACAGGGGTTTAATGTAAGAACAGGCAGGGGGACGTGTGAAGAAGGCATTGGGACTGCAGCGATGCCAGCCATGAAAAGGGGGATTTAGAGAGGAACACTGACAGACCTATCGATTGCTGACTCATGCTCATCTGTCATCCACTTCAGCACTCTTAGAATTTGGCAACTGGGATTGTTGCAGAAGAGTCCTTTAAGTCGAAAATCGGGTTGGAGTGACTGACAAAAAACCGGCATTAATTCAGATTGGTGCCAGCTAAAAAGGGGGTCCTGTTAATTCCAGATTTTGTCAGAGTCACTAAAAGTCTCAAATAGACAGGAATTTATTCCACTGCAATGCAGTGCTGCAAACATTCAGCCTGATCCTCTCCAGAAACGCCTGTCAAAATCGTCTCATTAATATGTCCGTCTCAAAGACAAATAAATCCAGAACTCTAACTCACTGACAGTGCATTTGTCAGTGGGTGTTAATAAGTAGTCTTGAATTGACTGGGTAGTAGCTAAGCATTGAAGCACTTTTATGAGTTTGAAAGTGACACGGGGGCAAAATGCCTGCACAACCCACCAAACCAACCAATTATGCACAAGACTAATACTGGCTACAGTTACGTGAGAGAACAGCCACCATCATCAGTGCTCATTTCAGAAGTTGCCGGAGCCTCCCTATGATGTCCTCTTTTGTTTTGTTTGATGTTCAATTACAACCTCTACTGAAGATACTACTGCGGGCAAAATATAAGACATATGATCTTTAAATGCACACAATGCAGTACAAAGAAAGTGTGAATGTGTAAATTAGTACCGTATCCATATTATTTCTTTAAAATAACGTAAATATTTGACTATTAGTGCAAAAATATATCAAGAATTGTTCATTGAGGGCAGTTTAAGCTGTTTAAGATTTAAGACATGAAATCCGGTGAAAGTATAAAATATCTAACATACCACCCCCGTTCACAATGTACGAATAAGAAATAGGAAAATAGCCGATTTTGAACTCAAACAATTGGGCTCCACAGAAGATTGGCCGAGTAATTTTCATCACTTATATCCTCCATAAAAAGAATATAATGCCCTCCACTTTTACTGGCTTTCATGGTAAAGAAGTGTAAAAAATTGATTTGAGTTAAAAAAAAAAAAATCTAAAACAAAAATTTCTTATAAAAATTCAACTTTCAGTTTGGGCAATTTTTAATAAAATGGGGACGATTAAACAACATGCCATTTGATTAAGACATGCACGTGCTGATCTTCAACCATTGGTAACAATAAAATGGTTACTTTTTTTTTAAAAGAAGCTTTTAAATAGTATTCCATAACTTTGTTTTCATAAGGTATAAATAGGACTGAAGATCCAGGTTTTTCTCTCTCCACAAAAGCAGGATACAATCTCCAAAACTTGTTAGCAAGCTGCTGCAAGGAGTGGTATCTCAGAGTCATTTAGTCTCCCTAAGAACCTCTAAGACAACATGCTTGAGCATCCTAGCTGTGTTTTTTAAAGAAGTCAGTAATTTGCCTTCTATCTTATTATTTCCAAGGTTTTAACTGGAACTTAGATATGTGAGATGAGTCTAGGCAACAAACAGTTCAAGTGGTTTTGGTGTGGAAAAAAATAGAAGGATATGTGGAAAAACCCCATTATGCCCACTGTATGGTAGAGAAAGTAACTCCTTCAAATATAAATACATAAATCAATAATATACATATCGATACTTGATTCCTTTTTAAGAAACAGAAAATGGATCATCATGATATATTATTGTACTCTATATGGTCCAATAAACAGAAACAGAAATAAAAAATTCAGGCAAAAAAAAAAAAAAAAAAAAAGATCCCATCTTTTATAGTCGTAAGCACAAATTAATAGAACATTTTTCAAATTTAAGAATAAAAATTTTAAACTGTCTTATCAAGAGGAGACTACTACAACCATACATAAATTAAATTTTGTGTTCTCCACTTTTTTTTTTTTTTTTTTTTTAACCAGATGTGCCAATAAGTATGGAGGGAGCTGCATTCCTCTGAGGTTGTAGGTGAATGTTAAGGTTTAACAACAGCAAGATGTGGTATTTACCAAAAAAAAAAAAAAAAAAAGTTGTATGTGGAGAACATTAGAGGGACTGGAGTTTCACAGGACAGCGAGGTCCTTCTTACAAAAAATAAAAACAAAACAAAACAAAAAAAAAAAACATTTAAGCACATACACTGCCGAACCACCATATACCCACAGATATAACCAGCAAACTCAACTTTAGTCAAACAGTGTAGCTGTGACCCAGGAGTCACTAGTGGTAGTCCAGACAAATAAAGCAGCCTAATCAGCTGTTTCTTCAACCAGGACCCCACGGAGGCATGACGCATTTTCCTAAATTAGTTTCATAACTCTAATTTTGTTAAATTTATTTATTTATTTTTCCTCTCGTATAAAACGTCAGACCAACAGTTTGGGGCCATTGTTGTAGAAACAGCATACTGGGTAAGACAGCTCTGGAAAAAACTAATTTCTCCAAGTGCAAGGGAGACAAGGGTGGAAAGGTAGGGGGTGGGGGTTAAGCAATGCTTTTTGCTCCTCTATGTGTTACTTAGGTCCTGGCAGAAGCACAAGAAAGCAGAGACAGGCTTATGACAGTGGATGAGGTTTGAGATCTTACCTCAAAGTCCAGCTCAGAGTACCGTACTCTCTTCCTCTGGAAGAGGAGGGGGCAGGGGGAGAGAAGACAGCATCAATGACTACCCTGGACTGAGTTGAACTTTCGTGATCTCTATCTCTTTGTGGACCCTTCTGTGCCACGGCTCGAAAAGAGAAAGCCTAGTACTGGTTGCCCAACGTGATACGGCTTTTTACAAATGTGAAACAAGGAAAAAATTATTTCAACTGACTGAGATAAGGAGTCAGTTGAATGGAATCTTTTTTTTTTTATTTGAGTAATTATAGCTGTAGCAAAAGCCTTAAGAATTTGTTAGGGGTCGTCATTAAAACAACTGCAAAAATGTATGGGAAATGGGTTTCATCTCTTTATCACATGTATACCCTTCTTAGCTCACTAAGTGCCTTCAAAGCTTTACCAAGTGGCACACAAACTGGCAAATTAACAGTAGCAGACATTTCCAGCTCATCTGGGCTCCACATTGCATTGAATTGCCTTCCATCTCTTGCTTCCTGTCTGGCTCCCGCCGTCTGCCAGATTTGCATTTTGGCACAGAGAGGGGCAGCTCTCCACAGTTAGTTAAAAGCTGTGTTCATTTCTCCAAAAGGCCAGTGCTGCTGAACTGATGCTATGGCAGGCATGGGTTTAGAACACAGGTGGGCAATTCCAGTTTTCAAGGATGTCCTGGATGTTTCAGATATGATTGCTGCATGAACACAACTGATTTGAAAGACTCTCTGATTGTGAGGTACATGCCATGTAGAACTTGGTGACAGGCTGAGGAGGAAATTCCTCTATTGGAATCCAATGCGTTGGTGGGGAAACATCTAAAACATGTTTAATAGAGAGTTTCAGCTTTGACTTAAAATATTTATATTTAGCAATTTAATCTTAGAGATAGATACAGTTCAACTATCTAAATTTACCTTTTAGTACTTAGAATGCAAGACAACACCTCAGTCTGTACATTTAACAATTCCCAATTTGATTGTCTGCTGATGTCATGGCACTCTTTGATTTACAACAGATGCAAGAAATCTTTGTCATCTGTCTTGCAGGTTTTAGAGTTGTTGTTTTTTTTGTTTTTTAGCTGGAAAGCATCTGATTTCATTGAATAGGTAGTCAGCGAGTTCATGCAGAATTTGGTGACCATCTATGGAGATAATTTTGCTGCTACAACTGGGTGTGTTGGCACAAGCATGCACCTAAAAACATCCAAAAGACCAGAACTGCCCACGTTTGAATTACAAAGTGAAAGACCCGAGCCTAAGAGATAGATCCATCTCCGCTTTCTTCTCGATACACCTTTCAGTAGAATGGATGCAGATAAAAACCCGCCGACTCTTACCTTGAACGGAGCAATTCCATGACTGAGTTGCCTTTGTGCAACAATGACACGCATGCAACATGCATATACCTGAGCTGCATATAGCATGTTTTGATGTGGACACACCTGAAGCAGCTATAAACCCACTCACGCAAATTCAAAGTTTATGACTTGATTGCATATGCATTCCGTAAAAACAAAAATAAGTCTGTGATCATATGCTTTTTAGATCGTATGCTTTAATTAGTGTGTGCTGTTGAAATCGTCAAGAAAAAATAATAATAAAATAAATAAATAAAAAAACAGAATGAAAGCCAAAAGCAGATTTGGGTAATTTCTCTATTGCATATTGCAATGCTAAAGTTGCAGAGCAAAACCTAACTGGGTTTTTAATCTTGAGAGGCACACTCTTTAATCCATCCTCAAATCGAGCATAATCAGGGCAAAATTATAGCTGCAATTTAGATTTACCGGGTTTTTCAACATTCCTCCTTGTTCTCGTCCTTTTTATGGCTTTCATGAAAGCATTCACAGCCCTTCAGAGAGCGCAATCTTTTTTTGATTTTATACGACTTGTAGTCGGCTCCAAACGAGGCATCGTCACATTTTCAGCAACCCGGGTGACGTTCCCATGTCTTTAATCAACCTTTCAAGTCATTGTAATAAACCTTGTGATTATACGTTCGCTTTACTGTGTGCTTAGCTTTTTATATAAGTCGGCATGTATGGCGGTGGATGTGTTGTTCCTGTGGGTTGGCTGAAGACTTTCGCCAGGAGGGTATTTCCTCTGATCCCGCCTGCCTCAGTCCATCTGCTGTGCCGCCTTGTGCGGTCAGGAGGGGGTGTCGCACACAAACAGCATCACACTCACATGGAGATGGTAAACTAATAAGGAGCTGTCTGTCGATATGAGAATGACTCATTTCGTTGTCGCAGTTGGCAGCAATAAATACTACTGAGCTGAAAATAATAGCATCTGTTAGACCAGACTTGTTCTCGGGAACACTAAAGTGTTATTGTGACAATATGTAGGGAGTGCATTGTACTAAAAACACTCAATAGGTGTCTTAGAGACGGCCTTATTTAACAATTAGATGGATTGGCTTGAAGACAACAGACTTGAAATTTGAAAGGTAAGCAATATGATCTATTAATCCTCTTCAAGAGTATTAGTTTAGAAGAAATATATGCTTGATAAACCTTTGAATTCCTTTCTGCAACTGAAATATCCAGTGCAAATGTCATTTGAACTTTCTTGCACTGCTAAAGACACTTGTTCAGACTGAATATTACTGAATAATTAGAGTGTTTGCAGAGTTCTTCCTTCCACTCCAATCCCTCACTGTGCCATCGCTTAGGGAAGCACACTACATCTATACCAGTCAAACGTCAGCTCAACTGAAAGTTGTGAACAGCTAAGCCATCTCCATTTCTAAAACTACTGCCATCCATTTTTCACAGGCCTTCACTCACCTCCAGGGATCCCGCTGAGAGGCTGGTGTTGGCATTGGTGCTGCCTAGGTTGCGTGGGAGGGTGCGGGTTCTCTCCACTGTGGTTCCCCCTGTCAGAATCTGTCTGACTGATGGCCTCTGGCCTGGCTTTAGGTGGAGTGAATGCGCGTGGGAGTGCATGTGTCCTCCGTGGGAGTGCACATGCCCACCTTGGCCCATCAAGTGGCCATGCCCATGGGGCACGGTTTTGATAGTCCCGTAGGAGCGGTTTAGGTTCATGGTGATATTCATGTCACCAACGCTGGACGGCACAAAATCTGCCGGATAGGCCTCGCTCTCTGCCGGGTGAAGGGTGAGTGGAGAGGGAGGAGGGGGGAAGGGAGGATCCTCCACCGCGATATTGAGGGGCTTGTCCTCGCCTCCAAGTCCCAGGCCTCCTCCCTGCGAAGAAGGCGCGGGAGGTTTGAGACTGACCGTCCTACGAGGCAAGACCATGTAGTCTCCTTCCCCTCCTCCGCCGCTCCCACCCCCGCCGCTCCCCCCACTTCCTGCGCTTCCGTCCTGGGAATTGTTGGAGGACGCGGGCGGCCGGGCCCAACCCAGGCCGCTCTCGGTGCACAAGTAGATCGGAGCGGTGGTGCGTGGCTGCCCCTGCTGTCTCTGCTGGTCCAAGTTTACCTCCTTCTTAAGAGGCGTCTCACTGAGCTCATTAAGTCCTAATGTTGGAACCTGATGGGGGGGAGGAAAAAAATTCCATTTAAAGTAAATTATTATCTCCTGAAAGCTATATCATTACTTTAAAATTTCGATATGTTCCTAAAGTATTAAATAGCAGCGAAGTTAAACATTTAATAAACACCAAATAAGCCTCCAATTCAAACCGGTACCTGTACAATGAGGTTTGGAGGCGGGATGTTTCCAGGAAGGGAACTGAAATTGACCCCTACTCCCCCTTCCTGATGTGCTGCGAGCTTTGGATCATCCTCATCATCCAGGGAGATTCGTGACAGGGTTCCAGTGATGGTGGCTGGGTTACAGGTGTTGACCTCTTTGAAAATGACTGAAGGAAGAAAAAGGGGGGGAGGGGGGGGGGGGGGGCAGAGGAAGTCAGGAAGATTGCCAGAAAGTTAAAGACAAAAAGCACAAGCAGAGCTGAATGGTTTGTAGGTACAGGGTTGAATTTGGGAAAAAGAAAATGTATTAGAAAGTGAGTGAATATTAAATAGAAAGGAAATTATATATCTGGTCTAATGGGACAGCTGACGAGAGAAGTAGGTTTAATTTTGAAAAATGAAACAAGTGAGTAAAACTGCGTTCCTGAGAGAATGTTTCACTTTACATTTTGAGCCGAGTTAAACAATCAAGATCAGATTTATTCCTGGCACTTTTCACTGAGTAGTGGGTAAGCATGCTATAAGCTTAGAGCATCAGATGTGCTTCAACGATTGTCAAACAGTTTTGAAAACATCTTAAAGTACGTTTGGGTACTTGAAAAATATCTAGCCTTTCTAAAATGTTTGCTAAAATAAAGGAAATCATCCTACAGGATAAACAGCATGCAGAAATTGGGAGTCCTAAAACTGGCCTCTCCAGTGGAAAGAGAGTTTTGGCGATACGACTACTTCACATATCACTTTAAAATCACTTGTTTAGGGTAAAAATGTGTAAAGATTTAGGTGACCAACACCTGCTAGAAGAAAAACACAAAAAAAACACATTGTTAAAACATTGTTTTTGCTATGGAAAGTTTTGTAGAGACATGCATCCACAAATGTCATATTCACAACTAGCATCAGTCCAGCAGCAAATATTAAACATAAATCAAGACAGTCATGCTGATCTGTCTTACAGTTTTGTCAAAAAAAGAAACCGAGAGAAGGAAGTATAGAAGAATCCAGTTCCCTTTCATGTGTTCTGTTGCAAAGTAAGTACGACCATAATTACAAAAATACGTGAAATACCTGCAAAATAACTTCAAACAGTTTCAGTCTAAAAAAATACAAATGTAGACTTTCAGAAAAAAAATAAAATAAATTGAGCCATCTTTAGACCAACAAACAACTTCCAAGTCTTTTCATCAAAGTGAAATCTGTGTAATGAAGCACTATGTAGTCCATGTTTTACTTTCGTTAAATAACAACGGATGCCTTTGCTAATAAGGATAACTCATCAGTCTCCAACAGTACTCAATTAGAAGAGCATTGAAAAAGTCTCCATTACTTATAATTACTTGTGTGGGAGTATATTTGGTAGACAAAGCAAATAGTGATAGTTACAAAAAAATCTGAAAGATTTTGAGCCATTTGACAATGCCATTTGTCTGCTAACAAAGCTAACGTAGATGTCTGCTACTTATTAATACCAAGCTAAAGGATCTGGACTGATGATTCATTTGATTGGCTGGCTCCAAATTTGACATGCCTAGACTAGTGAAACCTGAACAAGATAATATACTAAATAAATGTTTTGAGATTTATTAAACCTTTACATTCATTTGTTAAACTTTTTTTTGGTATTAGCACTATTTTAACATTATACCACCAGCTTACAAAAGCATCACCACTCCAACCTTGACCGTTATAATCTACATTGATTAAAGTTTGTGATTTGTTAAGCTTTTAAATCACTGGAAACGAAAAAATGGGGAAACCTGTTTATACTGCCTTCGCCATATGAAATGCAACTAGACAGTGCAGCTAAACTCTTCCTTATATCAAGACTCTGAGGAATGTTGACCTTTTATCCACAGGTTTACTGACTCCAAGGAAGTGTGAAACTAAAATACAAAAAAAAAGGAATACATCACTTTTACAGTCTTTTTATAAACATGTAGATTTAAGTTTAACATAGCTAAATTAAATACTGTCCCAAATGAATTAGCAAAGTTGTGCAAACTTACAATAAACATCCAAAAATATTTTACGTCTACCTCAACAACCAGAAATAATATAAAAATAATGATGCACAACAATCTATTAAACTCATCATACCTACAATGCTTCGTCAGGGCAAATGAATGCAGATGGAACTGGATTGACTGAACACACGGGTGACATGAATCCAACTCTGTCTGGCTTTCTGGCTGAAGCCAGGTGACATGCAGCTGGATGCACCTCCCAAAGGGAACGCCACCCCCCCACAGACACACCCACAAAAATACCCAACAACACACTGTTTACCCACAAACTATGGCTAAAATCATTTCTTGTTTTATTCTTAACCTCCGAGATATATATATATATATATATATATATATATATATATATATATATATATATATATATATAAAAAACCTGGCATTTTGTTTATGTGGGTTTTTTGTCTCTAAATCAGTTTTGCCGGGAGAGTAAGTGGCTTTTTCATTTACCTTGAAGTTCTACGTGTCAGTTTCCTAACTCTTTATTCCATTATGAAATGCCTTTATTTAGAACACTAATGGAATAAAAACACAATCAGGCTTTTATTGTGGTAATGTGGCATAATTTTGTGAGCAAAATAATACATTCAGTAAAACCAAATGACAGTCTATGTTGATAAAGTACTGTGATTTAAGACTTTTAGCATTTCACTTAGATCATATAATCACTGTTCTGAAAGAAAGATATGCTGCAATTTTTGGCCATGCTTTCCTTTGACTTTTACTGATGCTGCTTTTAATAGATTATAACTTGTTTTGGAAAGCTATAACACAAGACAACATAAAAACATTAAGGAGTTCCTCTAGCCTCTCTTCAGTAAGTGGTAACATTTATTTATGGCAAGAGTAAAAGGGAAATCACACTACTAATCCCTGTAAAACATACTGTTTTATGATTTTGAACTAGTTAAACTTGGATTTAAAACAGCACTGACAACTAAGATCTGAATGATGTTGGAACTGAAACTTTTACTACAAGAAGCCTTCTTGTTATCTGCTGAAAGTTTTGCTCTCACAGCCTAACTGAACAGCAAATACATTCTGACAAGGTGAAGAAAATAGTTTCCTTTTAAATAACTTCCTATGTCTCACTCATAAGCCCCCCCCCCCCCCGCTAATATGCATTTGTCATTCAATAAAAACATCCACATTAAAGAGTTCTGCCATCAGCAGGTCTTATGTATGTTGTGTCTGCTGATTAGAACAAGATCCAACTTTAACATTTCTCAAAGTACTCTGAATTATATAGTCTACCATCTGCTAGAATTATGTTCTGAAAATAATTAAATTTAATGTCTTGCATTGGCATTATGTAATAGATCATTAGAAGAAAAAAAAAAACGAGAATGTTTAAGAGTTTGGCTAAGAAGTAATGTGTTGAGTTTATCTTTTTTTCTACTAAGTGTGAAAATGAAACACCTTAAAGCGGTGTATAATTAAAAAAACCAAAATAACACAAGGGTTCAACCTGGATTCTTCTATAGGAATGTTTGAAGTCTAGAACAGACCAGGCAATGTTAGACGTTAGTCGGGTGCAAAACTTACATGGGTGTCCTCTCTCTGCAAGGGTAGCGGGGGGGGAAAGTGACTATGTTAATACATCAAAGCACAACACACACCAGACCGCAGTGCATCTGTAACACACCCAAACAGCCACACAAGACCATTGTCAGCTAACGAGTGAAACAGGTCTGAGCACACCGAGGAGTGTTATTATCATGCACAATTAAACACAGTCCCATCCAAACATATGCTCGCTGAGCACTTATTGGGCAGAGTCGGTGTGATTGATAAGGCATAGTAATTTGAACACAACCATGTGGAGACGTGGCGTATCAACTGCTGCCGTTTCATCAGCAAGCTAAGGACGCAACCGCCTGCAATGCTAAACCCGCTTCAGGTAGACGGAGATGAAAAGAGCAGCTGAAAGAGCAGATGGAGGGGAGGACTCACCTGTCTGACAAGCCAAGTCCACGTCCTTCTCGAAATCCGTCTAAGGAAAGGAAAGGAACACGAGAAGAAATGCAGGAGTGAGTGAAATATTAGCATGAGCGTGATTGGATCTCAGTGCTTTAGTGCTAGGATATGATCCGTTGCCGTGGAGAGGCTTTGCGACTCAGATTAGTATGGAGAACAAAAAGATGCCGCCTTAGGTCATTCATTAAAATATTTCAGTTCTTATTTTCTTCATGATGGGCTTGCTTACAGCCTTTTTAACACCCACCCCCCCCAAAAAAAGAAAACAAAACAGATTATAGAATAGAAAATCCGCTTGCAGCAAACAATGCTGCAAGCGGATAGGCTGTGATGCTAAATTCTGCCACAGCAGTGGATCCAGGAACAAACAGCAGAAGGGAAAAACCAGAAGAAGTTTTGCTTGATACGTAATGTTACTGTACGATTCATCAGTCACCACACCAGCATCGAATGGAAAAAGAAACTGACACGGAAGCTAACCAACCTATTATCTGCTGTGCCTGCTGAGAAAAAACTTAGACTCCCAGCTTGACAGGAAAAAAAAAAAAAGATTGGAAAAATACAAATTCTTCCTGTCTTTTTTTAGATGCTTCCAACCAATAAAAAAAGAAGAAATAAGACAGTAGTAAGTTCAATCCAGACTTGATGTTTAGAGTTTATGCAGAGAAAGTGTTGTGGACGTAATGAGAAATGACATTCATTTCCAGGCAGACTTTAACTAGACTGATTCAGAGCTGTGGTGCTCCTCAGAGTAAAGAAACGGAGGGAAAAAAGCTGTTATTTCCAAAGCAGCCACCGCTCACATTTTAGTAAAGTTTAGAAAGTGAAGCTCATTACAATTCAGCTTTAGTGGCCCTTTCTCTCCGCACAGACACTCCTCCTATACTCTGTGGGTTTCACTTACAAAAGCCTTTATTTGGATAGTAAACTACAGGTTTTAGACAGTTTGGGCATGCCACAGAGGGAGAGAGAATGCAAAAGGTGTAGATGGAAACTGAGAGGGAGGAGGAGTAAATGTGTCCCATCTCACCCCAGTAGCATAAAAAAGCTCTCAGTCTGCAAGCAACCCACAGCTCCATTTGCAAATGACTGAAACATGAATACAGAAATGATATCCAATTCTTTTTTTTCTTTTTTTTTACATAAATTAATAGAAAAATATATTTATTTTAACATGGCATGAATGTTGGCTCAACCTAATAAAAAGGACAGCAGTTGTAGTTTAAGGAAATTATTGTAAGCGTAACATTCTTGCTTGAGACGAAATTCTAACTATTAGCTTAGCCTTTTAACAAAACACACACACTCACAGCTATTCCTACTCACACTAGAAAGGTGCAAAATGTAATAAAAGTGAAATCGATGAAACTACAGCCTGATTTGGCCAAAGGAATAGTTGAACAATTGACCAAAAAAAAAAAAAAAGAAAAGAAGGTGTTGCTGACTTCAAAACATATCTGGATGCTGCGGTAAATGATCCAATTGTAGCCAAACACTGAAAAGCTTGATGGAGTATTTTGGATCTTCAATGCAGTGACTCAATTGTTTTATAATTTTCACTACCTTTAATGAAAAGTTCTCCTAATGCATAAACAGCCACGCAGGCTCAACAAGGAGCTTTACTGGTGTAAAAAACAAGGCACTTTTACCTAGCTTACGCTACATATCAGTTAGCATATTTATTTATTTATTTATTAATTTTTTGTTTTTGGTGCATATTGTTGAGTATTTCTTCTCAGTATTCATTCCACTCTCTTTAGAAATGACCCAAAATAGGTAGGGGCATGTTGCATAGTAACCTTGACGACTTAAGGTCATCAAGGTTAGAAAGCTGTCAAGAGGTGACAGTTTTCTACGGTATTCTCAGTCTTTTGTCAGGAAATGGGGTGATATTGCTACAATTAATAGTCATATCACCCCACAGAAAGCAGCTTTAAGGTAAATTAATTGTTCTTACTTCATAACTTGATCAAACAGGAATAAGCAAAAAAAATAGTTTGCAGCACGTTTTAATTGTACATATTTTCAGAGACGCATGTATTAAAGTGAAATGTCAGCGTTTTTTAGAATGATTTTCTCCATGAATCATGGTGATATTTAAAGACTTACAGGCTGTGCTGACCTAAAGCAATGTTTAAACACATGAGTATTAAGTAGTTCACTTTCATCTAAACATAAGTGGGTAAAGATGAAATTGCACTTTGCGGTACATAATTGTAGAAAGTGGCAAAGAAAGATGTTTCCATGTCACGATCATAACACAGAGGTCGAACGGGAACTGACATTTCAAAGATTAAAAATCTTTGACTAAAGCATGTTAGGATGTAGCTAAAAGTAAAAAAAAAGATTAAATGCCTTTTGTGCTTATTTTTGTTGTTTTATAGCTTAGCGTAACATATCAGAACATCTTTTTGAAACAATTTTAACTAGCTCTTTTCTGCTATCAGAGGTAAATTAGTGAAGAACGTTTAGCTTTTTTTTTTAAACATCCATTAAATTACTATGAAGTGTCACAACCCTACATTTAAACTACCCTGCTAATTGTTTCAGTATCACCCCATTACAACACTGTTCAGCGTACCGAGATATTTCCTTTAGTGTGTGCTTACTTAAATTAGTACTACCCTCAAACCTTCAAACATGATTATGCTAAACAAAGGTTAAACTATTCCTTTAATGTCAGCTTATATTCATGGTGAAATTAAATTTTACACATTGCACCTTTTTCCTCTAGACACCCAAGACATCCTAATTACTAGGAACTTTGCTTTCCGATTCTTTTCTACGGATGACGTACTGATCGACTGCTGCTGTGATTGGGGGTGTGGTTGTGGGTATTGTTGAGCAGTGGGGTGTGCTCATGTGTGTGGCCGTGGTTCAGCACACAGTTGCGGCTGCTGTTAGGCAGATCATGGTAACAGGCTTGCTGGCTTGTGTGGTGGCACGTCGGTGTCGGCAGCTGCTGGTGACAGCCAGACAAACACAGGGGTGTGCTCTGACGAGAGCTGTGCTGCTGTCCGCAAGAGCCCTTCTGATGACGAAAAGTGGGGGAGGGAAAAAAGAAAAAAAAAGAAAGTATTTCACATAAAACATTAAGCTGAAAAACGTAAAGATTTTCGGCCCGTTCTGCTGAGCGTCTATCAAAGTTCACCTATGCAAATGATGCCGTTCGTTTTACTTTTACAAGAACTTTTAGCTACAGGTTAACGTCTTTACAGCGACTCCAAATGTCAGAGGTTTTACGTACGAATAAGACTCGCTCCGCTGTAGCAAGGGCACCTGCGCGAGCGCTCCCTGTAACTTTGATGCTCACACAACTTGCGCTGGCCTCAATAAATTATCTATCACAATAAATGTCGCCAAGGGTAATGTGTCTCTCGCAAAGCAGTTGTGTGAGCGGGTAATTTAAAAAGGCTGCACAAAGTCCTACCTATACGTGCCGTCGTCAAACGAGTAAATATATTTATTGCCCTTTCTATGATTCATCATTAAGCTGTGTGTGAGTATTTATTTAAATGCATTTTATCTACAGAAAATACTTTATTTGAAAACAGAGGCTGAAGACAAAACGGCTCTGAGGGCGCAGGGAAGGAAAACTGAGGGGAAAGCTGTTCCGAGGTGCCGTGTGACCGTCCTGACATTGGCAAGGCACTCAACTCTTGGTGATTTATCACATTATTAAGCACATTTGGAACACATACAACAACCTTACTGGAGCTCTGTTCTCATTCGGTAAAGAAAGCAAAGGTTAAAAGTCAAAAAAGTGCTAAGCTGTGTGGTCTGAAAGTACGTAATTACAGGAGTGTAAGTAATTGGTTTTTAGCTTTTCACCAACAGAAAAAAAAAAACAAAAAAAAAAAAAACGTGATGGCAATAAAAGCATTGATTTGCAGAATATGATGGCGAGTTTTTATTTTAGAAGTGGTCAAAAAGAGGCATGGATTTGTCTTCTGTTTTGGAAAGCTTTATGTTTGAAAGCAAAATATTTGGAAGATTAATAAAAACACAAAGCGGATAGATATCAAATTATTCCTATAGAGGTAAACATGGTTACAGAGGAACAGAAGCGAGGGATGAATATGATCTCTCTATTAGCAGTCATGCTTCTTAAAATTGCGTTTGAAGCTTGCAAGAAGTGCAGCCCGATACTCTGAGGTGCATGAACAGCAGTGTGGGATGAAATGGAATGCTATTCACCATGATCTGCACCTGTCCGTTCTTGCAGGAGTCAGGGGAGTTTTCGCTGTCGTCTTTACATCCCCCCATTCGACAACGCACAGCGTCTTGCACCTACGGGTTGGTGGAGGTTGGGGGGACAGCAGGGAGGAGCGAGTAGGAGATGCCGGAGAGAAAGAGGAAACAGACAGGAAAAGAGGGAGGGGAAAGGAATGGTGAGGGAGGAGGAGGAGGAGATGATGCAAAGGGAAGAAGTTTAGTGCAGGCACTTTGATTTGTTTGCTAAAAGACGGGACTCAAGGAAGCTGTTGTGAAGACGTTTGTCCCATGACGTTTTGAGTAAAAATACTCATGCCCCTTTGAAAGTGGTCACACAACAACCACAAGTTTCAATGTACTTTGTGCGTATGTGATAGACCAACACAAAGTAAGGCATCAATGTGATGTGGAGTAGAAATTACATTTAATCTAAAACATAAAACGTATTCAGCCAATGCATAGCACACTTCTTGTATTTTTTGCTGTAAAATAATTTAAAGCCTATGAATAATATCCCTTGCAATTCAGAATAATGCACCACCTATGACATACACTTATTCTAAAACATTGCAGTTTGTGTTTTGTAATGTGGCAAAATGTGAAAAGGTTTGAAGTGGCACAAAACACTTTTCCTCTGTGCTTTATAAATCCAACAGCAGGTGTAAGGTAAATGGTAAAGTATGCTAACACGGCAAAATTAAAGGAAAAAAAAAAAAAAGTAATATCCTGCCACTAGAAGCTGAGCCTATTTATTGTCAAACAGATAGTGGAGAGCTACAGTCAGCACAGAGCAGCACTTCAACGTGGTCTATATGAGCCTGGTGAGATCTGTGGCTCTAATTAAAACCAACAGAACAGTAAGGATGTCCTGACCCCTGGGCTTTCCTGGTGTCATATTGTCTTTCTTTATGTTTACACACACACACACTTGGTTACACCAGTAGACGCTCCAATCAGATGAATCCCAAAAGTAACTCCCCCAAGATCCCTTCCGTGGCGCCGGGTCGTGTTTTATAGATGGCCTCCTTACTTTCCGGGGCGTAGCATCATTTCCTGAAGCTGACGATGTCAAATCCCAGCTTTTCGGGAGTGGAAACGAGACAGCCTCGAGGGAAGAAGTGATCCAGGAGGTTCGTTCTCATAGAGCCGCTCCACATTGCCGCGTGTTTGTGCATATTGGTGCCACTACAAATGGAATGGATTGCATCCCCATCTGATTAATACTGCATGGCCAAACATTTTTGCTCCATTGTTTCCTTTTGTCTGTCGCTTCTATTTATGATCACGCTCATCCTCTGTGGCATCTGTTGCCTGCTCTCTGTTGGTGCACCGCGGGATAATGTGTGTGTATGTGTCGGTAATGAACTGCAGCACATTCCAGTTTTAGATTAGCTGTCCCTGCTGTTCTACCTACCTTAGCTGTGGATCTCTCATGCTCCTACCGTGGGCTTTTTGGCCGACTCTCACAATTATGCTCTCTTTCCCTTCCTGCCGGTTAAGGTGAACAGACATATCTTGGCAGGATTGAAGGTTTGCCGTACTCCAAATTTTTGCCTTCACCAAATTCACCTGGAGTGTTACGTGATCTTTATATTGGCCCCATACCTTACTGTGTGAACCGTGCCATCAGCTCCAGGTTTTTTTTTTTAAATACACCTTCTTCTTCATCGATGATTAACTTACAAAAAAAGAGCGATTCACATTTTTGCAAACCAAAATGCAGACGATTGACATGGTCTGTTTGGGGAAGGAATACCTTTGCAAGTTAATTTACAGCAACTTCCTTTCACATCTCTCATTGGTTTTGATCCTTGACCATTTTTTTAAACAAAATAAAGTGAGAACTGAAAAGCAACCAAAGAGAGGTGCATACTTTATATAGACATTAAATGTTTAATCACAGTTTACGGTGTCTTGTACAATATTTTTCCACGTAATACTTCCTAATTAGCCTCTATCATTCTCTTTCTCCCCTCTCCGCTCCTCTGATGCACCACTTATAGAAGGATTTGCACTCGGTCTCATGCTGGGAGGATTTTCATACATTATTACAATAAATAATTCCTGGAATTACAGTACACCGATTCCTGCCGCTTTTGTGATATTGACTAAATGCAGTTAAGCGCTTGGAGCATTTGAATATTCACGTATGTCATGCAGTGCATCAGGTTCACTCACGATCTCTTGCAGGGAATGACGAACCTGTGCGTTTACCTTACTCAGCTGCTACTGTTGCGTGTGCTAGCGTCAGCAACAGATTACATACCAAAATGTATTAAAAAGTACATAGTACAGCCATTAATTGCAACTGGTGTGTGTGTCTGAGTATTTACGTCCGTCTTAAGGGCACGGAAACTTGCATGTGCATAATGAGTAGAGCATGCAGGATCCTTGGGGGCAGAGCAAAGCCTCTGGCTAAAAAAAAAAAATCACCGAGGGCTGTTAGTTGGGGACTTATCGTCTTATTCTGTACAGCATCTCGTAAGCTCTTTAAAGCATACCTGGATCAGTCAGACAATAGTTCGCTATCATGCTGCATTATGAGAAGAAGGTGCAGCAACACAAGGCATGAACCCATAATAACCATGCCCTGCACCCTCAACTGATTTGCTCAAGTTGTGTCACAGACTAAGACTGACCAAAGAAAGGATGTAGAATCGGAATGAAACGGCCCATTATATCTCACGAAGCAGTATTAATATGGAACAAAATCACAACACGGGGCTTCATCAGCCGACACAAGAAGTCAAACTCACCTCTCGGCGCATAGCACAATGGACAGTGATGATGACAAAGCCTTGGACAGAGTCAAAAACGGCGAAGAGGACCTGAAGGAGAAAAACACAAAATGTATTTTAGTTTTTATCCATAGCTCACTAATTTTTAGTCATTTATATTTTTGGCTATTAATATATCATAAAACACAGCAGCCTTCAGACTGACTGGCATCACAGGCAACATGCCTCAAAAGATGCATCTTTTGTTCCTGGGGTATGAGCACATCAACGAGGTTCATTTACAGTAAAGCATAAATACAATTGCCGGCGTACTCACAAACTTATGCAAATATTCCTTACTGTAGGAATTTCTTAATCTTTTCATTTTACCTAGGAGACCTCGTGAGACAATCCAAAGTTTTTAATGTAAATATTCATATAATCTTATATCTTATATATATTTTTGGCATATTTGACCAGTTTTTAACAAATTATGAGTTTTCAAGCTTCATCTCCTTAAGTTCCTGATGTTCTTTTCAGGATTTATTTAAAAAACTTTAATTTCATGCCACTGATGCTTTTCTAAAACCTGCCAGAGACTTGGTAAAAAAAAAGAGAGAGAGAGAAAAAAAAAACAGGTTATATTTAAAAAAAATGTTAATTAATGTCTCCAGTCTGTATCACTCAGCAAGCTGACAGCCTGGTGATCTTCTTTCCCCCGACTCGCAAAATTTCAAAGCTGCTTTTCCATTATGCGCCCATTGATATGCGTATGTGTGTGTGCGTGCGTGTGTGTGTGTTGGCTTTTGTGTGTTTGTGACTGGCAGAACATTAGCATGTGCTTGTTGTTGTTGCACACATCACCTGGAAGAGTGTGGAGCGCCGATCAGTTATGGCCAGCACGGCTGACATCCAGGTCAATGCTAACAGAGGAAGAACCACACAGGAGCTCCACAGGGACGCCCTGTCAGACAGGAAGGAAGCACATGCAGGTAGGGGTGTGGTAGGGGGTAGAAAGAGCAAGGGATTCAGTCTCAAATCAGACAGGCCAGCTCTGCTAAGTCCTCGCATCTAAACACACACAGGTTAATCACACATTCTACAGTGGGCTATTTCAAGCGGACTGCCACACTACAATTTGGATCATACTTAATATTCTAACTGATGAGTGGAATACAATGTGTAATCATGTGTAAAGTTCCGACTCCAACAAGCGCTCACAATTACATGGTTGATGGACTCTGATTGCCACACTGGGAGACCGTGAGGCAACATGGGGGAAAAAAAAAAAAAAAAAAAAAGACCAGACCAATGACATTAATAACACAATATCGTAAAAGGAGTGAGAAGCTGAGGACTCCAAATTCAAATGTTTGGGCCACATCTATATTAAAGCTGTTTAAGCAATGTACACAGAGGAAATTACATGTTGTATTAGTTAAAAAGTTTATCTTGGTAAGTATTTGCTTTTAATGACGCTGCTAATGTGAAATTTAGAACATATTCATGTGACATCTCAAGTAATCAGCATACAAAAATATCAAAGCAAATAAGCTCAAAAAGTGGAATGATGAAAGGCACAGATATTAAGCATAAGAAAAAAAAACATGAAGAAATTAGCCAAAGAAGTTGATGTCTTTGTATTTAAAAAGCATTTAGTTGACCTTGACTAATGTACTTTCAATTGAAGGCCTATAAAACTATCTCATACACTGCTGCAAGAAGAACAGAATCATAACAGATAAAAACGCACAACTATTTCAATAACTTTGTAACCTTAATGTTGTAGAGCAGACTGTTGGCAGACAACAAGAAATCTTCATATTGACAATTTAATGTATATCAAGAAATATTTTCAATAATTATTCATAAGCAATTTTTGTACTGCTTTGCATTTTTTTAGGCTAGGTTTTTTACCAACAATACATTTTGTAAACAGCTTTATCAGCAATATATGTACTAAACTACATTTTTACATTTTATTTTTTATTTAACACATACTGTATCTACTCTTTAGGAAATTAAGACTCTTCTCTGTTGGGGGCACGGGGGAATGAAGGAACTGAGTTAAAAATCTGAAAACATTCAACCAAGGTTTCCCCCAGAAAACTGGCTAAGCCCAGTGGTTGGGCGCTCAGCAGTCATTCATCCAGCGGCCCATTGTGTTTTTTGAGTTAAAAAATGTTTAAAGTTGACAGGAAACTTGAAAATATCCCTTGATAATCATGTGTTATTGAAAGATTGGAAGATTAACACCTGAACCCCACCTATAAAGCCTTTAAAAAATGCAAATATTTTAAAAAGTGCCCCCATCAGCACTGCGTTGGCTGATGGGGGCGCAAGTAAAGCCTGGTGACCCGCCAGGCTTATAGTATGCTGGGGGAAACCCAGATTTAGCATATCAACAAGTAATAAAGACTTCTACTTAAACATAATCTGGTTCAACACAATAATATACTTAATCAGATAAATCATTTTGGAAATTCTGAAACTTTTAAGCAAGGTAATTAAACGTAATATGTCTACAGAGCATAAAAATGATGTTTTTTCCACATCTACCAAGCTTAAGTATTATTTCAACAACAGCTATTAAGCAGGTTGGACTTTATGGTTAAATGTTCACCAGTGAAAGTGCTTTCACTGGTGAACATTTAACCATGTGGCAAACTTCAAGACAAGCAGCAATATAGGACAAATATAAATGGCCAAATGCTGATATACAACTAGTTAATCTTTAAAATATCTAGGTAGTAAACCTTGTAAATCTAAATCTAAATGGCAAAACATGTTAACACTGCCTCTAAAAGTGCCATGGGTAATGTCATTACATTGCTCTCCAACCATGGAAAGACAGAGGGTAGACTGGGGTTACAATGTAAAATTAAGTGCCTTCACTGAATAAATAAAAAGCTATAATGAAAGATTTGCACAATAACATAGATGATTATCCACGAGAGAAGATCTCTCAGAGACTATTTGCTCCGATCATGAAACCATGACAATTAATAGAATGTCAACCCAGTGTCGAATATCAGATTAGTTCAGATCATAAGTCGAAAATGTTACCAGAAAAAAAAACAAAAAAACGTAATCGATGGTATAGGGGAGTGCTGTGGATAGACGTGCACTCCATGCACCTGTCTTCATTATTTTGCTCTGCATAAATTTAAGCAGAACACAACGTCCCTTTACTCAAATTAGAATCTCGATGATCTTTTGCCAGAGCACAGTCTTTACAAGAGAATTTCTTTCAATCATGATTCAGTTGATATTTAGGTAGCTTAAGCCCAGTAATTTATTGCAGAAGCACAGTAAAGCTGCATAAAGCACAACCTTTAAAACATGTTTGCAATATGAGGACAGCACTTTTTATTATTTAAGTCGTCTTATTTTTAAAACTCTACAGTCGTGGTACAATTGTTCTGACAATTTACTGGATATGACCAATGACAGATTGAATTAGTTTTTAGTGCATTAGTTACTGAAATTGGCTCAATGATTGGATTGCACTACAGATGCCATTTCCTGAATTTATGTGAATCCAGTCTTACCAAATGTGCACCTGCAGCTACGAAAGAATATGCAGAAAAAAATTGGGAAAGTTTGAGTATTACTTACTTTTAGTTTCCTGTTTAATTTAATTGCTGGGGGGGTTTTTATGCATCTTTCAAGTTTTACTGTTTGTGGTTATTTTGTCATTTTTGTCTGGGGTTCTAAGTTTGATATATGTTATAAATGCAAGATTAGTTTTTTTTCCATCTGTCATATTAAAACATCTGAAAAAAATGGTGGTATTAACTTATTGAAACAATGCTTCATTTCTTCTGAAAGTGATTTTAAAAAGCTGTTTATAATTGTTTTATGTTTTAAAGCTGAAGGAAATAATAAGAAGGTATATCATATATATAAAAGATAAAAGAAAAAAAAAAGCCATGAAGGAAGTTGCCTAAAAGTTGGCTGACAAGTCTACTTTTTTTTTTGTTACTCTGACAATTCTGTCATGGAACATGCTGGAATTGTAAATGATGCTAGTCTTTGCAAAATCTCAGATTAAAGGATAGAACCACATTTTTAAAGGGAATAAACAATTACATTAAAAAAATAACACCAGCTGATTGCTAATGTAAGATAGTATAAACAGAGTTTAAAACCTGAACTTTGGAATCAATTTTGTTTTGTCTTGAAACGCTACTTTACATAAAGTGTTCTCTCATACGTAGTGGAATAATGTTACTTTTACTTCTAAAATACTAAATTAGTCAGTACTGGCAGGTCAAAAACTGGAAATAGGCCACAGAATTGTAATCAGTGATGCTGTACTGAAATACACAATTATAATATGGGCTCAAGACCAAGTCATAATTATATATTCTTTCAATTGTATTGAACACCTATGAAAAGATCTGAAAATTCCAGTTTGAAATGCCACTATTAAAAAAAAAAAAAGACTATTGGAGCATTTCCCTTCAGGTAGAGTGGAATAAACTATACCAATTGGCAAAGACAGAAGTCTCACTGAGAAGCACAGAAATCTCTTAAAAGTATTTACTGGTAGAAAAGGTGGAGACACAAAGTATTATGAATTAGTCCACCATTTGTAAGACAAAAAAAAATATCCAAATAAACAATCACAATCAAAATAAGACTTGTTTTCGGTATAAAAAGTACGGAATAGCAATAAACTTTTGTCAGTTTCACATTTTTCAGTAAAGGTTTTGCTGTTTTTTTGTTTTTTTTTGTTTTTTGTTTTCGTTTTCTTGTGGTCGAGAACCAGCAAAATTGGTCATGTCTGTATTTAATTACCAAACAAGTCAAAGTGAATACATGTTAAAGAGTAAAGGATAATGGAGGAGTCATTTAAACAGTGCAGTTTGCGCAATTAGGAAAGTTGTGTCTCTGTGTTTAAGCTTCCCCCATGCTGCTCTGCAAATATGTTTAAAGTAACTCTAGGAAGGATTCATAAATACTGTTTGACACAGGTCATATTTCTCCGTGCACCCAAAGGAGAGCTCACTTTGCATCAAAACGCACTCTCATTAAACAAGGTCGACTTGCGGTGCAGGTGTTTTCCCTTTCATTAAACTGTTTTTGCTTCCCAGACAAGTCTGAATACTGTTCTGCATCATTACCGACAGCCAGAGATTAAACGGTGGAGGGGTGGCAGTGGCGGTGGGGGAGGGGGATAAATGAAGAGAAGATAATGTGAATTAAGAGGGGCAAAAAAAAAGCAAGAGAAGGGAAGTATAGAAAGAGACAGATGAAGATGAACTAACTAACATGGCGCTGCTGGCCGTCGAGCTGGACATAGCGGTACTTGAGATCACGCCACACTTGGAGCATTTCAGGAGCAGTCGGCTCCGCGCCTCCGCCGGGACACTTTAGTTCACGCACACGCATCCCATGTGAGGGAGAGAGGGAGGTGAGGGGAAAGTTGGGAGGAGGATGAGTGCAAACACACGCACCAGTGAAGACAACAGGTGAATGTGATGGAGAATTTGAATAAATAAGGTGGGGGGGGGCAACGTGGACAAACAGTGAATGGGGGAAAGGAAAAAAAATGGTAGGAAAAGGGGGAAGGAGAAAAGAAAAAAAGAAAGAAAGGTAAATTAAAACCAGATCTTAAAAAAACTTAGCAGCAATGAAATACAGTCAGGATACAAAGATTGATTCAAAGCAAGCAGAGAGAACGTGAGAGACGCACACTGCAACCAGTCGTGGATTAACACATTACAGTGAGACTGGCAGGAAGTACACCAGTTCTTTGGTTCATTTTTATACGTTGCATACGGATCTGCGAGTTACTTATTGGTGAATGTACTGAGACTTTACTAGAGTGACAAGGAGGAAGTGGACTGCTCTGGTTGTTTACTTACAGTTCGCTAATCAGATGGAGGGGAAGCATGTTTGCACATTGGTTTGTGCCGTGCATGAACATATGATTTAATACATGAGGAGAGTGACTGTGTTGGAGTTATGCTACATTAGCATCCTATCACAGATCATTACCCTGGTACCAACAACTGCTACCCCGTGGCTTCAAGAAGAAATGCATTTTGCCCACAGTTTGTCCTGCGAGCAACACCACCAACCTCTCTGTTTTAACTCTGCATGCGAGTACAAAATTTTACAGACTATAAGACACTTTTTTCATGCTTTGGATGGTCCTGCAGTTTATAGTCAGGTGCAATTTTTTTTCCCCCTCCTCATGATGCATTTAACTGATGTGTTAAATGTTAATTGAGGCAGACTAACATGAACCAAGGAGTTACTGTCTGCAGCTGCGAAGAAAGCTAATTGCATGCTAAAAGTGGCGCAGTTACGTCTCCACACCCCGGTCGTTGCCGAGCAAATAAATATAAGTGACTTTGCAGGTGGGCCTTCTTGGTGTTGCCGCTTCATGCAAGGCGACTGCTTCTTTATGGCCCGGGATTTTTCTGCATCTGTTATGGCTCTGTTATGATGTTCGCCGGTGGAGTGAAGATGTGTTCCTGACATGTTCATGAACGCCCCGATTTAAAGATCAGAAAATGGCAGCTGACTTCTAGGTTGAGCTCGAATAGTTTTCTGTGAGTTTGCTGAAAAGCAGCTAACTACACAAAGCGTCACCGGATCACATCACCGACACAGACGAGGTTACCCTACATGCTTCACGATTTCTAAATAATTGCGAGTTACAGTCCAGTGTGACTTGTAGAGGTTTTTTTTTTTCTCCCCCCGTCTTCATGATGTAACTTAAAGTCAGAAAAATACTAAATTTAGGTAACACCGTGCTCTGGATAGCATGGAAAAGTCTTTGTAACCCTTTTTCAGATTTTGTCACGTGACAACCACAAACGTCATTGTATTTCATTGTGGTTTTATGATAAACCAATGCAATGTAGTATATAACTGTGGTGTGTAATGAAGGGAAAGGCATGCTTAAAATGACAATGTTTGCAACACTGGAGCCAATAAAAAAAATTCATGACCTGAGCAAAAATTATATTTGCTCAGCTCATCAGGAGAAGTGTTTGTCTGTTCTTTATGCAAAACAGTCCAAGTTCTGTTTGTTTTCTCGGGTCGAGTACAACCTGCTCTCGCCCTAGTTTTCTTAGACTAAAATCTGAAAGTCCTTTTCACAGATGGCAAATGGACTGAACTTATTTATCCTTTTTCCACTCAAACTGACCTCTCAAAGCACTTTACACTAGAACCACAGCAACACTCTCAAACATACATAGGTGCTCATCAACATGTAACAGGAGGAAGCTTGACTCAAACCCAGGATTTTCTGATTGCAAGACAACTACTCCGCCTAATGAGTCACAACCAGTTGCTGAAGTGGTGCTACTAATTCAAGTCTCCAGTGTGGCAGCAGAGTGCTGGTTTAACCTCCAGAACAACATCAAGACCTTGAGCTATTTGTATTGATTGATTGATTTGCACAAGCAATTCAGCTCCATCTGGACCAAAGCTGTGAGAATGAGTTCTCTGCTCAGCTTTTTTTTTTAAATATATATATATATATATATATATATATATATATATATATATATATATATATATATATATATTAAAACATTAATTAAACGTTTGTCATGATTATCATTTTAAAAGTTGAAGGACAAAAACAAATTATGATGATTTTATTGATCCCATCAGACAAAATGATAATGAAAAGTGTATACGGGAACTCATATATTTTTTTTTTTACAGCTTTCCACAAGCTCTCAATTGGAAATAGATCTGGACTTTCACTTTTACAGTTTGACACAGTACTATGTTTTGATCTAATGTTATTCATTCAATTGTAGACAAGGCACTACATATGAAAGGTGAACATTGGTCTCAGCTTAAAGTCTGCAGCTCTTCCAAAGTTACCAGAGGCCTCTTGGTTGCAATGGCTTGGTAAGTTATCTGTGCCATAATCTTTCCATTTTTTGGAGGATGAAGCACAAAACGTTTGTACTTATGTGTAGAAAATGAATAATTCACTTTACCTCGTAGATCTATGCTCTGGTCTGTGTTAATTTACCTCATAAAATGCTAATAAAACATACTGAATCTATGGTTGTACATGACAAAATGTGGAAAAGTTCAAATCCTATGAAAACTTTCGCAAGGCAATGCACTTGAGTTAAACTGACAGAAAACATGCTCATAATAATCTTTCCAGGATCAGGGATGACTTAAACGGTATATGTGCGCTTTAAGTGTTTATACATCAAATAGGTTTAATCTCAGCCACATCCCTGGGTAGCAAAAGCTAATCAGCCCCCTAGAGAGCAAGCTTATACAGTTATAAACAAACTATCAATTTCTATTCGTGCAATCAATGTACATTGAGGAAAATGCAACGAGGCAGAGAACAAGAAGTCAATGGAATCAATAGATGCGAAAATTAAAACACATGGGTTTTTACACGCGAGAACCAACGAGGTTTCCACTCAGGTTTGGAAAAGATGGTAAACGCCTCCGTACGGAGTCGATAGATTTCAATGCCTTACTTTGACAAATCTGCATGCACGCCACGTGTGAAGATATATGATTTGTTTTCATGCTTTTTAGGTCTCTCTTTTTGAGTTACTCTCTCTATTCACATTACATTTCCAACTGCCACTGATTTTCACATCTCCCATGCTCATCTGTGTCACCCCGCTGAGAGAGCTAGGTGGTTACCATTTGTGGAGGTGACGCTGAGATGCATCTCAGAGAGCAACAGCACATAACAGATGTCTCGCCATCTCCTTGCCAAATTAGATCATATTTTCTGATTTTTTGTTAGCGGATGCGCAGGTGTACGAGTAGGTGCGAATGTGAAGAGACCCTCGGAGGCATTTTGAGTCATTTGCCAGGAAAATATTGTCTGACAGAAGGAGGAATATGCCTAATATGGTAAATATGATTTCGGTTTTACAGGCAAAAAAAAATAGAAAAAGTTGACTTGAACAGACAGTAGAAGATGTGTGTAGGTGTGTTTTTTTTAAGTTAACTTACCCTGCTCGCTGCTTTTTAGACTTGTCTGAGATGCCGTCTCGAGACATGAGCTTGTTGAACACCACAATCCCAATGAGCATGTTTACCTGTTAGATGTAAAGAGAAGACATTGTCATAATAGGCACATAAGCTAAAGCTGGTCTTCTTTCATTCTTGTTCAACACGTCACTGTATGGGTCAGCCTCTCTGACGGTTAGCTGTTCTTGAACACAACAAAGCAAATTAAAGAATGCCTCTTGCCAAATACAATTTGATTTTCTAAATGCATTTAAACACTTGTCTGATGTTTTCCACGTTTGCTGACGGGAGCTTTCAAAGCAATCACACCAGTTGACATATAGGATCTTGTGAAAATATGTAAGCAAATTGTTGAACAACAAAAAAAACATTTTTAATTAAATTAAAAAAACACAAGACAAGTAAATAAATGAATGACTTAATTAATGAATGACTGACTTAGACATTTCCAAAACCTTATGAATGAATTAAAACATTATAAAAAAAAACAACAAAAAAAAAACGTCAATTTATGGTTAATATTGTAATAGATGAAAAGCAAAAATAAGAACAATTCAACCCTTTCTTTTTTTTCCCCTTTTGATATGATTTTTTTTAGCAACAAAAAGAGCCAAAAAAGGCTTCAACGGCAAAAACAAAGATATTTTAAAAATCCTCCACAAAAAAAAGAAAGACAATTTTGAAACTAAAAAGAAAAACATTTTTTCAGAAAACATTTTAGATGAGCATGAGAACAGAGAAATCTCAATGCGAAAACAGGACACTGATCGCTTTGCTTGCTTCTTAAACTAACAAGCAGTTTATTTTAAGCATATTTAACATCTGGCTACTCTGATCCTGTTGCACAGACTTAAAATTAAACACGCTAACACATACACACAGCTGAGTAAGTGCTCGCAGAGCTCTTTCAATCTGAAATCCTGCACATCTGGAACATTTGCTTTCCTGGTGACATGTTTCTTACAAGCCTGGTGTTCAAAATAGAGTTTCTGAGCAATCATCTGCTCATGCTCCCTGTCAGCATCAGTGGGAAGCAATTTTCGTACACTTGTGCATGTGCATGTTATCCTTGCCTTCCTTTCTTCCTTTCAATTGCCCACGAAGGCAGGTCCTGGCCAAAAGAGAGAAATCGTTTCCATGATACTACGGAAATCTTCAGAGCTCAGCAGATACAGCATTTTGCAGAAGTATAGCATGTCACAACTATGAACTTCAATGCATTTTAATGGGATTTTATGTGATAGACCAACTGAAAGTAGCTCATACTTCACATGAAAAGAAAATGATGCATGGTTTATTTTTTTAGTAAATAAATATCTAAATGTAATGTGTGCTTTTGAGCTTATTTATATACATTTGGACTTTGGCGTCATTCTATCAAATGAAATGCCATTACGTTGTCCAACTGGATTAATTCTATTTGGAGTGGATCTGCTGTGAGGCAAATCTGTTGTATTTCCAAGTGCTTTGGAGTCATTGTTTATTTTTTTTGTTGTTTTTTTTTTTTTTTGCACATATGCCAGAAATTTTCATTTTTTGTCTAATGTGGAAGAAAGTGGTTGCATTAGCACTTCCACATGTTCTCTTCATCCTATGCATGGATTCTGGGAAACTGGGCGTCTAACTGATTTCCTTAAACAATGGATTTTTTCTGGCCAATCTTCTGCCAAGGCCAGATTTGTGGAGAGCACCACTAAATGAACAGTTAAAGTCTCAAGAGTAAAATAGGCTGAGTAAGTATGCCATACACAAAGTGTGTGTCATGCCTCCCCTAGGGGGCGTCAGAGTTCTTAAGGGGCTTTGCTGTATGAGGGGAAAAAAACATAAACCAGAAAAAGTATCTTACCATTTAACCACCTTCACCAAGTCTATGGATGGATTTTTAGTACCTAAAGTGCGTGGGACAACAGAATCAATTGTACCCCAGTGCTGGTGTTGCATGTCGTCATGGAGCCTAATCGTGCACCTGCAAATTTTTGTAACTTGCCAAGTATCACTCGTGTCACATTTCACTCAGACTGGATGACCTGGTAGTTGTTCTTGCAGAATACGTTCAGCTGTATCAGCATGTATGTAATAGTTCAATGAGGGCTAATTTTTTGGAGAATGACCAATCACCAATGTATGTCACAAGTATGCTCGCCTCATGCCAACTTTATGTGAATCTCAAAGCATGCAAGTAGCTTACGGAGACAAAGGAAGTATGACCAAGATTTTTGAAATTTTGTATTTTCATGGACTGGATCTGAAGATGCTTTCCTGCCACAATGCTGTCTGCCAAGCGTTGGGAGTTTTTGACGGCAGTCTAAATGAACTGTGGTGAAAGCATTAGGTAGTTCATAGTTTTACCACAGCAAATGTCACGGCAACTTAGCTTAGCTTAAGCACTACCTTATCTAGTTGCTCTTTGAAGGGGGCTAGCTCATCCAAGACCCTTATTGTATACCAAATATTTTTTAAGGAAAAAAAACTGTTGCAAATCCTAAACTCGTTTCCTTCCTTTAGTGCACATGTGTCAAACTCAAGGCCCGCAGGCCACATGTGACCCGCCATGCCATTTTATGTGCCCCTTCCTTCTCCCCCAGCATTTTATAGGCCGATGATTGACTTAAAATGGTTTTGAGCACGAATTGACTACAAACTACATCTCCCATAATGCATTCTGATTACCAGCCAACATTACGGCTTCTCGCCACTAGAGAGCAGCAGAGTCACCTCACGCTGCATATTGATTTTCCCAGCGAATAAAACTGAGACATCGACAAGCTAACATCAAAACGTCCAAGAAAAGAAAAATAGATTTACAAGTAAGACTGTTAATGAAGATGTGTGTGAGTTGGTGTCAGGGCGGCAGGTCGCGCTAGACGTTATCTTGACCGGTTTAGTTAATATTCACCGTGAATCCAGATCCCATCACAGATTAAGCAGATAAATGTATCTACATTTACTCATAGTGACAAAAACCACTGACTGAGGCCCCAATAATTTGTAATAAATTGAATTAAGCGACTTCACTTAAATTAGCATCACTTCACCAGCTGGGGTCTGAACACACTTCCTCCTGGTTCCCATCTGCAGAAAAATCTGCGCTAATTCATCAGTCAGTCAGTTGGATCAGTCTGATCCAAACAGATCAACTGAACTCTGAGTGTTTTACCCTGTGCGGTGCGGTGTGCGCTTTTACCAGGTTTATTTATTTATTTAGCGTGGTTTCGCTTCTCCGAAACGGACAGATGTTACGTCTGCAGCTCCTCCAGAGCGCCGCTCTCCTGGGTAACGTGAACCCAGAAGGCTCCTTTTGTTAAATCCGCTGCATGAGTTTCTCCCAGCGGTTTCTAATTCTTCGCAGCGGCGGAGCCGCGTCCGCAGTTGTTGAGCAGCGCACTGCGCATGTTACAGTCTAATTAACTTTTGGATCGTCATTTATTTCCTCAAGATAAACTACCGGCTCCTCAAATGGATTAACACAACGTTGCATTCTCCTTACTTTTCTCTGGTCTGTAATGGAGTCCGGTCCAAACTCTTCAACACGCTGTCAGCTCCCAGTCAGAAAGACGCATTTAGTTCAGAGACCATGAGATGGTATTCAGAAAGGATTTTTTAAATTAATTGATTTCAGTTGCCTCTGAGACTAAATCTTTGCGTAAAGTCTATAATGTCTGCCCATGTGACTTGTTTTTATTATTTGTTTGCTTACCTTTAAACACTAATTTAAATATTGTAATTTTTAAACTGAGCAGTAATTTTACATCTATGGAAACTCAAATGTAATTAAAACTTCAATACATGAAATCAGTTATTTAACAATATGAGGTGTTGTTTAATTTATTTTTAACATTGTATTTTTATACATTTATGCTAGAGGTGCCCAAGTCTAGTTTTCCAGAGCTACCATCTGCAGCTTTAGATGGTTCCTTCTCTAACACACCTGGACCATTGACTCATTATAAGCCTCTACAGAACTGAATGAGGGAAGTCAGCCTTTTGTCTGGGGTGTTTTAGCAGGGATGCACTCCTGATTTGTACCGTCAATGTGGCCCGTTGAGGGGGGCCAATATGCTGCAGTGGCCCTCGGTGAAATTGAGTTTGACACCCCTGCTTTAGTGTATCACATAAAATCCCAATTAAGTAGATTGACGTTTTTGGCTGTAATGTTGTAAAATGTTGAGAAGTTTAAGGTCTGTCAGTACTTTTTATTTTTTTTGAGGTAGAATACATTCTAACTGTTTCTCTCACTTTGTGACATATTTCAGGGGATTTATCTGTCTGCTGAAAAATTCTCCTCTCCATGATCCCCTCTACACTCATCGTGCCGCGGTTGACAATGAGCTCCTGGAGCACCAGATTGAAGGAACGAATATTGTCATGCCGGTCATGTCTGGCACCAGCTCTGTGAGTCAGCATCATCCTGTTCTGCTATTTGCTCAAGGCCAGGTTCATTAATTAGAGAAGAGTCCGGCGGGAAGGTCTCTGTGTTTCTGTGCCCGAAGCCCCACTCTCATTACAGCTGTTTGTTAGAGCGAAGGCACCGGCGACAATACCAGGGGGCTGGGCGCCATGTCGCAGCTGCGATTTGGAGCATGCTTCGACATTGTGGGGGCAGCAGTGGAGGAGGAAAGCTGAAAACAATGGGCCAAGAAGTGAAAAATCAAACCTTAGACTGCATTGTAAGGGCCTCAAACAGAAAGCAGCTGTTTATCATTTCTTCCTTCTTGAGGACCTTTCAAGTCTCATCTGAAAGGTTTCTTTAGTTTTGAATATGTTGGGAGTATCAGGCTTAGATATAAAACACTTTGAACTGCCTTGTTGCTGAAATGTGCTATAAAAAAAGAACTTGACTTGAAGTAAGTATTAAGAACAACACCCCCTAATAGGGCCATTAAAATCCTGTGAATCACTGGCCCTATTCTCAATTTAGTTCTATGTTTGGGTTGTTTGTCACTTAACTGGCCAAAACCTGTCATCTCTAAAAGTTGTTCTGTTCAAACTGAATATAGGATTGCCTCCCAGGAAGAAAGAAGAAAGGGAGGGAAAAAGGAAGGAAGGGAAGATGAGTATCGCAACTATTAACGCAAATTCACTTATCCACAATTTCTGCGCAGATTTGCAGTTTTCACCAGTCATCGCAACTTTTCCACAAATCTTACTAACGTCCTCTTACGCGTCCACTTTTAGGGTGTTTTCCAGGGCATCCAGGGGGAAATTTATTGATTGAATTAAAGTTCTGGGTTTTAAATTGCCTGGCGTGATCCACTGAGTGAGTCTTTATATTTGACTTCCTCCCTGAACTGCTCCCTGGTGGGTGGGTTGGAGCGAACGGTGGCGAAGTGGAAGACAGATGGCACACAACAGGTTGTGCTCCAGTATTGCAACTGATATTTACAAAGCGCAAGTGTAGCTTTATGAAGAAATCGCAAAATGAGTTTTCTTCCTACCATTTGGGTCGCAATAAATGGGTGGCCCTAATGCTCACACACCTTCTCCTTCCCCCAAATAAAATAACTCTTAACATACATAATTCATCAGGTACAAAAACTTTGATGGGAACCTATTTCAAGAAGGTACAGAAATTTCAACTTTCTTGCAAGACCACATTATCGCAAAAATAAGGCTTAAATAAATAAGTAACTTTGACCACAACTTTTTGAGATAAGTGCACCAAGATCAGTATTTGTAGGCCACAAAATTCACAAGAAAACATTGCAACATCCCGAAAGGACTGATAGATGAACAAGAGAAGGAATGGAGGCAAGGAGAAAAGAAGGAAGAAATCGAGGGTGAGAAGTTAAGGACATGTGACAAGTGAAATAGTGAAATTGGACATAATAGTAGCCAAGCAATGAATATTAACAGTCATGAAATCCATTATCTCCTCGAAAAAGCCCCGCCAAGCTCTCTTGTCAGAAATTCCAGTACAAGCATCCATATCCCATCTGCACATCTGTGAATGTGTCCGATCCATAGTTTATTTCCTGACATGTGCTCGACAGCAGGAGTGACAGATTCGATGCCACCCAACAGCATCAACAACAGTGGCAACAATTAGCAACCTAAGATGTAGCACACTCTATCCAGACTTATTAAACCTAATGGTAGAAATCTCCACCCTGAGATTCATTAAGCACGAATTATCACAGCTCCGTAGAAAAACAGACAATTAAGACCCCACTGAGATGCAATTATGGCACTACATTTTACTGTAGAGCCGAGTTTAGGTAGCTGTGCGTGAAAAAAAATGTCCAGCCACTGAACTTGGTAAAAACAACTCACACAGAGCTATATTTATGCCCCACCATGTTCCTTCTAAATTTATGGTCAAGGACAGGCTACAGCCCTAGATGCATTTGGTTCGGTGACTCATGCTCTGAAAGCACGCATTACAGGGAAAGTTTAAGGGCAAGAATAGGGCTATAATTCAGTGTAGAAATCTAATATATAGCCAAAAGCTTTTGTCTGCTTACACTGTATTCTTTTTTTCCTGGGTTGACATTTAAACTCGGGGTTCAAGGGTCTCTGCTCATCATTTTGACATGTGTGCTTCTAAAGTGACGGCCGAAGAGCAACCGAGGTCAGCATGCATACTCATTAATGCCATCAGCTTTTGAGGGATGGGGCCAATCAGAAGTTAGATTTTCCTTTCCTTTTTTTTTTTTAGCATTTAGTATTGCCAAACTTTATTTTATTTATGCTCCTTTCCGCACTGCCAGTCTGGCAAGAAGCATATATTTAAACAAATATATAAGAGTTAAGATTCCTGTCAAAATCAATATGAACCTTATGTTGAGTACATTTAATGATGATGCATGTCTGAACAATGAGGATGTGAAATTATTTTGTTGGAACTGTGGTAAACGTTACTAACTTATGGCAGTATATTAAACATGTTTAACAAAGTCATTTAGGGCACTTTGTATGCAGTCGGGGTGTTCACTGAAGAAGACCATGTAAGACAATTGTAATTTACGTGTTTTGTTTTGCAGGTGCATTTGGACCCGAGTGATTTTGATTGTGTCAGATATAAAAAGTGGTCTAATTTTAAAATATGCATTCAAAACGTTATCATGCTGCATTTTGTTGCTTTATGTATCTTTCTTCCCACCATGGTCTTATATTGTTGCATTATTATGACATGCTCGAATAATAAATCATAAGCATCCAGCTATTAGCATTGACCATGTACTGTAGGCTGTCACCAGGGGCAACACTTGTTGAAGAGGGTACTGGTGCAAGCCTTCAAAAGAATAAAAAAAAAGGGCCATAAATAAAATAAAATCAATATTATTATAAAGAGGCAGCCCCTAACCGCCCTCTTTTCATTATCCTCTGCAGCGGCAAACAGTGAAAGAATAAAAATATCAAATTGACAAAAAAACAATGTTTCTCATTATTTGGTTGACTTAGCCCTGAGCTTGCTCTGCACAGTTTACTGTGGAAGAGGATGAGGAGCGGAGATATGGATGTATCATATTGATATTGTCATCATGGAAAGGCTCTCCAAGTCCTCAGCTGCAGCTTTCCCAACACCCAGGAGGAACAGGCAGGAAACAGGATGTGCTGAGGTGTGACATCTCTCTGACATTTTTATTAGCTACGGCAGAGCTGTGTTCAGGCCAAGACGCAAGATGCCATAATTATTATATTATTACAATTTGTTACTAATTATAAGTAAAAATAAATATTAGTATATTAGTTTGAAATATTTCTACAATGTATAATTTATTTGAAGTACAATGACACAGATTAGGCAAGATGTATAACAACATGTATGTTTGCATGTAACTACATTTAGGCAAAAGTAAAAAAAAAAATCAATTTGATGCGTGTGAATTCTGTAGAGGTATGTTAAATCTTTTCCTTTCCAATTCTTGACTCCCATTTTAGGATTAAAGCCACATATTGAGTGCCATTTTGTTGAGAGTTTGTGAGTGGCAGAAATATAAAAATGAAATCATCACAGAGGACTCAGAATCCCTCTGCTAAAATTTGGGCCAACTGGCCACAGTCACAAACATTAACCACGTTTTCTAATCATCATTTTGACTAGTCAGGTCATAGCGACCCGTTCCATTTCTGCTAAAATCACATACCTTTACCTAAGAATTCATTCCCCGACAACAAAGCAGCCAAATGTGACCAAGTCCACACACATTTTGGATATTCACAAACGTCATGAATTATTCAAATATTAGTTACACATCCAAATCAAATATAATTCATATATTTGATATATGTAGGAAATATTATCTCAAGTAGCCAATGGAACATTGTCCACAAACGTTTAAGGTCATATTCGGATAATGTTTGGAGGGAGCATAACAATCAAGGACCACCATCCAAACCATGCAATAGTGGGCAGACTCACCAGAACGATGACAGCAGCAGGACCAACGAAGGCATAAAGCAGGCCGCCCTCCAAAGACAACCAGCAGCTGGAAGAAAACAGATTGAGGGCTCACATTTCACTTCAGTGTGAGAGGTGATGAAACTTTAGATAAAAAAAAAAAAAAAAAAAAACGTAACTCAAATTTATTTGGTGAAAGTGTCCAAGTAATGAAGAATTTATTGGACTTTTTTTTATATTTTTTTTAATAGCTAAATGAAATAGCTTTTTTGTTTCACTTGAGATTGTTTTCTTTTTAATGTAGATCTCCTGATGCCCAGCAACAGACAGATTTGTACAATAAATTTGGGTGACTCCTTCATTAGCAATGACTCCCTGCCAGTCTCTGCTTAGTCTCCATGGTAACCAATATTAGTACACTAACAGCAGCAGGACCAACGAAGGCCTGCTTTGTTGGTCCTGCTGCTGGACCAACAAAGCAGGATATAGACAGACATGGATATATGACATGTATTTTCATGTCTGGCTGGACATAGAGATTGCAATGAAGGCTTTGAAAAATCTAAACAGGAGTCTCTTACTTCCAGGTATCTGATAAATCCTCTTATCCAAAAGGCAAATATTGAGTTGAAAGAAAGAAACAACATGATTAATCCCACAAGGTTGTGTATTCAAAGTGCTCTTCAGGATTACCTGGTAAAAATGTGCTTTCTGTTGACTAAGAATCAATAAAATAAAATAAATAAATAAAAAAGTAAAATACTTATGAAGAAAGAGAGGCTACTACATTTATGCATGCAATCATTCAAAATTCATCTTAAGAGCCTATGACTATAAAATCTGTTTTTGCTTTTTTTATCAGATCATTGCATTGCCTGGAGGGAGTTGTTGTTGTTCTGAAACATGAACCAGCATGATCTGGGTTACACATAACCACTGCGGTTACTTAAACATTTAACAATAAAATGTGACATCATCTTAAAGATTGATAAAAAAAAAAAATCTTGTTTAAATAATGACTTCTGTATGTTTTTTTTCTTCCAAAAATAAACCCTTGTGAGAGAGAGTGGCGCACTGCCGTTATTTATTTGCCATTATTATTTATTAATGTTTAAAAAAAAAGTTACTCTTTCCACTCAGTAAAACTGTCTATGTGATTTTTTTTCTGTGGTTGAAAGGTCTTTTAATAAAATGCCACAAAAAGGACTGGAGTCACTGACTATATGGAGCACTTCCCCATCTCCACCTTGGGTTGTGTACAACTTCTCAGCTACCTATTAAAATGCCACTACTTTACACTATTCCCTTGCTAAAAAAAAAAAAAAAAAAAAAAAAAAAAAAAAATCGGTTTTTAAAAAATTTTTTTTCCAAAAATTTTTAAAAAAGTAATTTTTAAAAAAAAAGGG